TACAGGGTCCAACAAACTACTAGCAATAATCCACACTTTTCACTATATGCGGTGGGGCATGTGGATACAGGGCCCTATGAATTCCCAGAATAAACAAAGCATGCCCATTTCTGTAAATGGAGCTGCTGCCAGTGATAAATAAATGGATGGAAGAGTTATCCTGTTGACCCTCAGGATATGGTATGGTAAAGAATAAACAGAGCAAACATTATCATACAGCCTTTGGGGTCTGCTTCAATTGTACTGGCTGCTAGTAGAAGGACTTTGCACAGTTCTACAGGATGCTGAAACAGAAATAATTGGCCAAAAATATTGGCACCCTTGCAATTCTGTCAGAAAATGCAACCCTTCTCTGAGAACATTCTTGCAGTTGCAAATGTTTTGGTACTCACATGTTCATTTATTTGGTTTGCATTGGAACAACAACAACAACAACAACAACAATAACAGAGCAGTAAACTCAAATCTAATGCAATCCCACACAGAAACCCAAAATGCACTGGCCAAAATTATTGGCAACCTGTCTAAATTGTAAGAAATAATTGCTTTTTAAGCATGTGATGCTCTTTTAATTTGTATTTAGACACACCTGTCGCAAGTAAGAGGTGTGGGCAATATAGTAATCACACTTGCAACCAGTTAAGATGGAGAAAAGTTGACTTAATCTTTGTGTTGTGTGTGACACTAAGCATGGAGAAAAGAATGAAGTGTAAAGAGTTGTCTGTGGATTTGGGAGGAAAAATTGTGGAAAAACATCGACAATCTCAAGGCTACAAGTCCATCTCCAGAGATCTTAATGTTCCCGTGTCCACTGTGCACAATATCATCAAAAGGTTGACAGCCCATGCATGGCACTGTAGCTAATCTCCCTGGATGTGGATGGAAGAGAAAAATTACTGAAAAATTACAACAAAGGGTTGTTCAAATGGTGGATACAGAACCCAGATTAACTTCCTAACAAATTCAAGCTGATCTGCAGACACAGGGTACAACAGTGTCAGCTCACACTATCTGTCACCAGCTGAATGAAAACGGACGCTATGGTAGGAGACCCAGGAGGACACCACTGCTGACACAAAGGCATAAAAAAGCAAGACTGGAGTATGCCAAAACTTATGTGACAAAATCACAATCCTTCTGGGAGAAAAAAAAAAAGAAATGAGAAATTCAAAGAAAAGAACACAGTCCCTACAGTCGAACATGATGGAGGTTCAAAGATGTTTTGGGTTTGCTTTGCTGCTTCTGGTACTGGATGCCTTTAGTGTGTGAATGGTATCATAAAATCTGATGGTTACCAAAGAAATTTGGGGTGCAATGTAGTGGCCAGTGTCAGAAAGCTGCATCTCCACCAGAGGTCATGGGTCTTCCAGCAGGACAATGACCTGAAACACACTTCAAAAAGCACTCAGAAATGGTTACAAACAAAGCACTGAGGAGTTCTGAAATGGCCAGCAATGAGTCCAGATCTGAATCCTATAGAACACCTGTGGAGAGATCTCAAAACAGCAGTTGGGAGGAGGCATCCTTCAAATCTGAAGGCCCTGGAGAAGTTTACAAAAGAAGAGTGGTCCCAAATTCCAGTAGAGAGGTGTAAGAAACTCATTGATGGTTACAGGAAGCCATTGATTTCAGTTATTTTTTCCAAAGGGATGGCTACCAAATATTAAGTTAAGGGTGCCAATAATTTTGGCCAGTGCATTTTTGGGTTTCTGTGTGGGATTGTGTCAGATTTGACTTTTCTTCTCTTTTTTTGTGTGTGTTGTTCCAACGCAAACCAAAAAAAATGAACATGTGCGTACCATTTGCAACTGCAAGAATGTTCTCAGAGAAGGGTTGCATTTTCTGATAGAATTGCAAGGGTGCCAATATTTTTGGCCATGACTATATATCCTTGTAGTATGTGGGTTAATTCTGTGTGGCAGCAATAAAAGCTGGCCCAAGGCATTTCTGGCCATACTGGCAGCCATCTTGCAATCTTTTAACAGCTTTTGCCAAACATTCACCTTTTGTCGAAAACATTCTCATGCCTTTCTAAATGCATGATAGGAACTGCATCTTGTCCTTGGCAAAGGACATTTCTGACATTAAAGTTTGAATAAGTTTTAGTAAAAGACGGTTAATTTTACAAACTAAAGGATATACCTCCTCCATTTTTCCCACAAAGGTATGGAAACCGCCACACATTCCCTAAACCAATTGCATAGCCCACACAGGACATAAGAAAGTCAAATCTTCCCTTCCAGGTGTCTCTGGCTGGAATTTCTCCTTTCTTCTTCTGCACCTTCACTACCAATGTCTTAGGCTTGTCGTTGGTGATTGAGGCATCACTGAGTTCTGTGGAGATCTGTCCATCGGCTACTTTTGTTCCATTTGTCGCCATTTCTCTAGGTTTCGATGGAGAGGCTCTCGCAGATGGACGAGAAACGTCAGCACCAGTCCACGTGGAAAGCAGCTTTGCGGCTCTTGATTGCCCAACTAAGGATTGATGGGGTTGTTCAAAAAGCAATAGAGAAGCTGGCCAGATGTGTTAAAATCCAAATAGATATATTGTAATAGGTATCCGTACTGATCTGCAAAACAAAAGTAGGAAACATTTTTATTGGTGCTTCTTGAGAAATGTTCACAAGCCACAAATCCAAAGCCTTCTATTAGAGATGAACATGATCCTTGGTTTGGAGTTTTGTGCTGGTTCATACACACGGCACTACAGGTCCCCCACATTCCCTTCCCCTGCCTCTCTGACCAATGGCCCACTCACCAGTTGGGATGCTTTCCTCTCCTCCTTCTCTTTGGTTGTTCGACTAGTCCCTGGCAGGATCATGGGTCTGACTGTCCTGCCTCCTTGTCTGAGCGGGCAATCAGCCAAGGAGGCAGGGCAGGGAAGTCCATGCTCCTCCCGGATTACTATGTAGGTTAATTCTGTGTGGCAATAATAAAAGCTGGATGGCTGGTGAGTAGGGGATCCAGCTTGGGGGGGGGGCAGGGAAGGGAATGTGTGGCACCTGTGGCACTGTGTGTACGAACAGGCATGAAGCTACAAACTGAGGTTCGTGCACATCTCTACTTTCTACTAACTTGAATAATCCTTCAAATGATACCCTATATTAAATGCAACCTTCCAATTATGCTTCTTATCTAAATAAAGGAGACTTGGAATTTTGTGTGTGAGCTTACTGAACTATATTCATAAAACACTGACAACAAACTAACAATAACAACAATAACATCAATCCTATACTAGAAGAAATGCACAACCCCTCCCCATGAGTTTTTTACAGCATCATTTAAAATTAGCTCCTGATGAAGAAAAAGTGTCTGGAAAGATAATAGATATCAAAGAGAAATAAACACTTATTAAAATCTATTTAAAAGAAATGCTAAATTTGTAAAGTTTGGACCATAAAGATTTAGCAGATATTTTAATCCTTCTCAGAGATTTTTATGGGCTTTTTAAATCATGTTGTGGACAGTTTAGGCTCTTGGGCCTAATCCAGCTTCACAGGGTCCCCAGTTTGATCCACGGATGTTCCCTGCTTGCCTTCGTTCCCTGAAATCCTACCCCACAGAAGGGACACAAGGCAAAAGGGAAATGAGGCATAAACCAATGGCCCACTCTGGATAGGGAGCCGGTTTCACTCTTTTTGCCTTCTTCGTGTGACTGTTCAGAGCTTGGAACACTGCTTTTTAAAAGGAGTCCATTCTGTTACTTGCTGCTTCAGATCAGTAGCAGAACATTACCATTATGATTAATGTTTCAACCAGACTCCTTGCATCTGCAAGGTTTCACAGGTTTCTGAGAAAAACAAGACCCTAATCTCAATTCTCCTTTTATATGCTTTTTGTTCTTCACCTGCTGCTCTGCAGGAAACTAACAAATTCTGGACCACTTAAGCCCCTTTCTGGTGACTCCTGCACAGGAATGATGCTGTTCTTTACATCAGTGTTAACAATCCTGAGCAGTGTATTCGCAAAGGCTTTTACGGCCGGGATCTAATGGTTGTTGTGGGTTTTTCAGGCTCTTTGGCTGTGTTCTGAAGGTTGTTCTTCCTAATGTTTCACCAGTCTCTGTGGCAGGCATCTTCAGAGGACAGCACTCTGTGCTCTGGTGCAGTTTGCCCACAACAACCAATCCTGAGCAGCCTGGTATTTCTTCTGCACTTTCCAGATGAATCATATGCAGGAAAAATGCCATTCCATGCATAGATTCCATGAATTCTCTTGAGCTTGGCATTTGTTCCAGAAGAAACAATCATGAAATTTTAGAGAAATCTAGGGAGATTTCCTGTGAGATTTATTGGGGAAATTATTGAACAAAGAAATCTTGATGAAAGGGGAAAAGGTGATTTTTTTTAAAAAAAAATCTCCCTGAGAGTGAAAGTTTGCAAGGTTCAAACCCCACAGTGGAAAAAACACAAACTTGCTTGCCAGTTCCCCAAATTGCACAATTCTGTTTAATGCATGTTGAAAATGCTACGATATATGCACTAGCAAGTAAAGGCATTTTCTCTTCAGGTGCTACAATCCCACCCACCCATCCAATTCCAAGTGGGATAGAATTTCTACTTTAAGTACCTGGTTGACTAGTATCTGTAGACAGGCATTTTTTAAATAAGAATTCGTTTACTGGAACAAATTGAACTATCATTAAAAAATGTATCTCCACAAAACATCTGCCTTCCATTTTTTTCTGAGTATGTCCAAGAGAGTCTGCTGAACAAGTGCCTGTTCCCAATTTGAAGAGACCCTTGTCCAGCATAAATGAGAATTCGTTTACTGGAACAAACTGAACTATCATAAAAATGTATCTCCACAAAACTTCATCTGCCTTCCATTTTTTCTGAGTATGTCCAAGAGAGTTTGCTGAACAAGTGCCTGTTCCTAATTTGAAGAGACCCTTGCCCAGCAGACTGAGGCAAAGAGGCAGTCCCGAAACCAGCCAAATCAGGGAGCTGGACAGGGGAGAGATTGGATTAGTCTTCCGTGTGGAAGGGATTGTCAGTCTTGAATTGGCTGCCTCAGCCATGCTAGACGCTGTTCCAAGACATCTATTCAGAGCTCATTATCATAGTCTTTCAAGAATGAAGGATGCCTACTTGGCCAAGAGGATGAGATTACCAATTAATATTTTTTCACATTTTTAAACTGGATGCCAGGTTGACTGGAAGAATTACATGAGGTCCCCGTAAAAGATGCTTTCACCTTCAGAGGTAATGTATCTTTGGACACTCCACATTTTTGAACTGGATGCCAGGATCTCATGGAAGAATTACATGAGATCCCCGTAAAAGATGCATCCACCTTCAGAGGTAATGTATCTTTGGACACCAGACATTTTGAACAATCAGTGTAGGAAATCATTGGGTCCTCCTAATGTACTTCTACACAACCCATGTGACAGTCATGGACTCTAAAGATTGATATTATCAATATAATATCATATATATAAACCTTATTAATTAATTGTATTTAAAATATAGCTTCTAAAATCCAACCCTAACATCCTCCTTCATCTTGACTTTCTAAATGTGAGGCCTCTCCAGCAGCCTAGCTATCTAAGCCTTCCTACCTAAGCATAGGTAGTCATGCTAGGATAAAGTTCGAAGTAGCTTATAAGGCCACTAAGTCCAATCCCCTGCTCAGTGCAGGAATACAAATGTTGGCACAAAATAAATTCCAATCTTTGTATTGAGGTGATACCTTTTATACTGACCAAAAAAAAAAGACAAAAAGTCTTTATAGCCCAACCTAAAGGCATCATCTCAGTACAGAGCTGGTCACCTTGCTGTGCAGGCATTAGCAAGCCTGCCTAAAACAGAAATCTTAAGAGTTCTCTCTTATTATTCCTCTCTTTCTCTTGCACTTTCTCACTCTTGCTCTAAGATATGCTCTCCCTTTCTTGCTCTTGCCCTTTCTCTTTTGCAGCCCGTTTGCCTGTGTGCTCCCTCATGGATATAGGTGTGCTCACTTAAACACATGCACTTTCTCGCATCTCTCTTTCACTGATCTCTGCTGTTTATCTCACTCTCCCTACTGACTCTCACAATCTGGCAGAGACTGAATGGAGTGTGGAAGCCTAGAGTCCTAAAGTAGCACACAATCCAGCCTGAGGGAATGCATGTGTGTTTCCATTTAGACAATATTTCCTTTCAGTCTTTCTCCTCATGACTGCTTTTTCCGAATCTGAAAATTCAAATGCAGATTCAGACCCAGACAAAACTGGGAAGCCTCCAGATTGGTATAAACTGAATTGCACTGTTTTCTGAATAATCAAATATCCCAAATGATCAGGGCCTATCTCTAAGGAGTTTATTGGTGTTTTACTAATGCATCTGCTAACTTTTGATGGGGTTCTCGTATTTAAAACCAAATTACCAAAAACTTATTTTTATACCATGCAACATAATCACATTTTGCAGATTATAACGAGAACTAAAATATTTCAAGTATAATACTCTAAATATAGAATATAAACACATAATTTGAATATTTATTCTTACAAAGAACCAGATAATAAAATAAGTATTTCATATTGAAATGATTATGAATGGTTCACTTAGAAAAATGGTGAAGGCAATGAGTAGAACTGCTGGATTAACATTACAGAGGAGGGACACACCAATTGTAAATTATAATCCAAATACAATTGTTTTACAGAAAAGCCTTTTTTTTCTTAATTACATCTGAAATGTCAATAATCAGTCCTTGTAAACCCCTCCAAAAAATCTCAGGAAACTTGTTTCTCTTTATTATTGGATTGCACTTCAGAGAGGAAGTATTCCGTACAGACAGTTTTGGATTTTCCGAGTACTGAAAGACATATAATAACATTTCAGAGTGTCTGAGCTGTAGTTTACAGCTACATTTAACTCACTGGCTGAAATCCTGTGCCTTAGCACAGTAATTTGCAACTAGAGTAAGCCCACTGGATCAGTAGGGAGTTGGTGAATTGACTCCTCCATAAGTTCTCTTGATTCATTGGCCCTACTCTAGTTGAACTGCCATGCTGTTTCTTAGCATAGTGAGTCTATTTAGTCTAGAACTTCTAAACTGAGTCATTTTGCTAAGCAACAGTATTTCAGCCAATAAATTAGTGTTATCATTATATTAATTAAAGTATTAATTTATGTGTTTCTCTTCATCCAAAGGATGAGTACCTATTTTTCCCTTTCACAACTAGATTTCTGTGAAGTAACCCAACCATGGTTCTATAAAACTATTTGAATTAAAACACAAAGAAGACTTAGTTAATCAGCAAATAATTCCTTAGGACTTCTGCCTATAGTCCAAGATTTATGAAAAGCCTCAAAATAGAGAACCATTGAGCCGACTGACCACTCAGTATTACACTTCTTCAGTGAAACACTAAAAAAAGCTTTGATTAAATATATGCCTTGGTTAGAAGCAGGCTCAAAGGCTGCCTACCTCATCCAGGTGAGGTCATAATAATCAATTTCTGTTATTCTCAAATCAGTTCTATACAATAGCTCAATAATAATAATAGTCTATAACCCCCAGAAGTGCTGAGAAATATCACAGATGTGTTAACTAAGGCTTCTGAATGTTGTAGTCC